TTGCCTAATTCTTGCCTTTTGTATGTTTTGCATGCATGTATGTGTGAGATGCACTTGCCGGTCCTCATCCAGGAGAGGCTTCATGCTGCCTATCTGTATTCTGCTTAAGCCAAAGCTTCTCTCCTCGCACTGACCTACATTTATCAGTGAATTACCACTCTATTACGAGCCACTCGGATGTCACTCCAAATATGCGCGCCCAAAATAAAGTCCTGCACAATTGTTGACGATGATATCTGCTCATTTCCATCCGGATCCGTCACTCAGAGCCGCGTAAGGGAAAAGGCATTCAGGGCTGGTCTATTTGGGTCCTAATCCAGCTGTAAGCCTTTGGTACTTTAAAAGCTACCACTCCCCTGGAAATGCTTTGTAGATGCTTATCTTGCATTTAACTAAAAAATCTTTGTTAAATTTGAATGAAAATGGTGGGCGTGCGCCGCCGCGAGTCACCCTGTAAAGCCTGGAATAATCGTTTAAAAGTCAGAGGCGTCGGGCTGGATTTGGCGGGAGTTTTTGGACCACGTCATACGCTTTACGCAATAACATCACACGCACAGGCTCAAAAAGAAGGTCCGGCTCGATGTTTAGGTCTCATATTATCTCAGAATCAACGTTATACTGATGAAGATGTGACGACAATCGTAGATAATTCACTCAAATCCTCGGAAAACGCTCCTTCACCAAGTTTAGACTGGATTCTCTTTCAATCATCAGATTCATCCGCTCGGGGAAGGGGACTGAAGCACAACCCATGCTATAAGCACGTTGTGTGCAGTTACACGTTTCCACCAGAGAGGTCTCCAAATCCCTAAAACTTTCATAGTGTGGCTTTAATTATTCATAACCTTAAAGCTGATACTCCCTGACCTCAAACCCAGTCTTAACTCTAATCCTGGTCCTAAACTAGCCTTGATGATAATCCTAAACTTATCACTAACCTAACCATATGTTCTTATCAGCGAGCAACAGCGCGCCTGTTGTTTTCTGTAGAAGGCGATTTATAGCTGTGATTTAAGCGGCAAATCGAGTTGAGGTATTTTCTAAACTTTTCGCAATGAGGTGACGCGACAATCTAAATCACTGGCTCAGATTCCTCGGTCCTTGGACCAATCATGGACGCAGGGGTCCGAGGTCCCCAGGCTGAACACTCTAATCCTTTTGTTCCTACCTGCATTTTGTTCCTATTCCTAAAAGGATCGCACAAAATTTGATACAAACTTGTAAACGTATACATTTTTATTCATATTTTAAACTAAATATTGATACGTATGTCTTACATTGTTCATATTTCCTTGTTAGAAGAAGCTGATTGGTGTACATGCCCACACACAACAAGAGCGGCGATTAGACAAACTTGATGCAACATTAGCGACTAGCTAATGTGGACATATAGTAACACCGATAATTTCACCAGCTAATTTATTCATAATGTGCATGTCTGTGGAGTGTCTATAGGGGGCTATCCTAATACAGAGTCAGCATAATTAACGATTGGAGCATTAGATTTCTGGGCTCATGCTAGCCTTTGTAGATGTGAGACCAGTTTTGTAGGTACATAACAGTCAACCTATCGAATTGCATTGTAGTGAAATGCATTGCATCGTATCATAACGTATTATTATATCATGACTAGCATAGTTAGCTTGTCAATACCGTGTTAGCTTGGGGCTAACATATTAGCTTGTGGCTAGAGCACTTTTTTCAGTTTGTGTTTCAAATATTGCACTTTCATAACGTTGAATTCTCTAAAAACTGAAAAATGGAAACAGTAACATTAACATAAAGCACATTTTCAGCCAGTCTTTAATGTTGCTATGTTGAAAAATGTATGGAATTGAGACGTGACTGTAATGTAATGAATAGAATAATGAATTTAGTGAATTGTTGCACCCCTTAAGTTATTATTCTAGTAATAATAATAATAGGTTTTATTTTTAAAGTCAAAGGTTGAAAAAAGCAACAGAAACCTACAAGCAAATTGACATTCAGTACAAGAAAACAGTAAAAGCTACAGACCGTCTGTCAACAATGAATCACACAACACAATGCAACGTTAGCAAAATTAGCCAAACTAGGCTAAACAACAGCATTCCTGTCTGAGATTAATGAATGAACCGGCCAGAATAGCTTCCTCAGTCTGTTTCCATAAGGTTAGCCTCAGCGCTAAAGTTAAATTAGCACTCACTCCAGTCTGTTTAGTCTGAGTCAGTGTAGTTCCGCCCCCTGTAAGTCCACAGTGCCTGTCTGCTGCTCACCCACACACGCTCACTCAACGTCTTCATTATTAGGAAGCATTGCCTTAAATTGAGACATTACTCCTAATTATGGTTGGGCCACGCTGGGTGGGCGGCAGTGGTGGGAGTTTTTCTATGTTTTGGTGGTGGATTGGAGGTTCAGCAGTATCCTCTTGACCAGCCAAGCCAAACACTTCCCAACCTCATGTGGCAGAGTGTGGCTGGAAGGAAGCTGTCATTAGCGCACCGCGACTGTGGCTTTGTGCCTCAGCGTATTCAGCCTGGAGTGACTAAAGGCTCAGGGGTTCGCTGGAGAACAGCTAGTGCTTCAATCTGCTGCGTCTTACTATGCCAAGTAAACTCATTAGACCGTTTATTAACCCCTTAAATGGCCAGCGACCGACGGCTGGCCCCAAGTTTTATTACACGCTTCTATAACTTAAGAATAGCTCAGCTAGTTTGCATTGAAGTCCATGTAGTTATTGAATAATGAGCCTTAGTGTGTAATATGCCTGGGATTTTAAGGGGTTAATGAAATAGCTTGATGAAAAATCTCATTTATAATAAGTTTTCCCCCTTATTTCTAATGTAGCTGATCAGCCAACATGTGCTTGGTTTCCAAAATTTGCTTAAAAATTGATCCAAATGTACAAAAGTACAGACAAAATTCAGGTTTAAGGCTAATGTTTTTAGATATGTGAAGTACTTTTGTCTTTCTTTGACAATACAGTGTCAGAGACCACATAATTAAGTCTATTCGAGATCACGTAACATCTCCACACACTTTGAGGCGAGTGATGATTTTAGTGTAGTTATAATTATATTAATTATAAGACGCAAACTGGCTGATCGACTACATGTGGGGTGAGGGAAACTTTACTTTTTTGAACTATGGCTTCAGAAAACTCTCCCTGACTGGCTTCTCTAAGAGGACCAGACAGGACGAGCTGATTCAAGAGACAGAAAAGAGCTGGAACTCGCTCTTCATTCTGTGTGAACAGTGTTCAGCTGAAGTGACTGAAGTGTTTGTTGCTGTTGGCGTGAATGGATCCACTGGGCTGGATAATAGGAAGCAGAGAACACAAACACCATTCATTCAAGGTTCAGCCTTTTATTCAGCATATACAGACGAACGGTACGGCATTAGGGTGAAGATGTGATCCTGAAAGCCAAGATCCAGAAGAAGACTGTGATCTGGAAAGCTGTGATCCAGAAAGATGTGATCTGCAAAGACATTAGTGAGAAAGATGTGAATGGTAGAGATGTGATCCAGAAAGCTGTGATCCATAAAGATATGATTCCAGAACAAAACTGTGATCTGGACTGTAGATTAGAAAGATGTGATCCGGAAAACTTTGATTCAGAAAGATGTGATTCCAGAAGGAAACTTTGATATGGAAAGATGTGATTCTGGAAGGCTGTGATCCAGAAGAAAACAATGATACGAAAACATCATCTGGAAAGATTAAAATTACGAATGATGTGATTCCAGAAAAGAACTTTGAATTGGAAATCTCTTATCCAGAAAGGTGTGATTCCAGAAAGCTGTGGTGTGGAAAGATGTGATCCAGAAAGATATGGTCTGTAAAAATGTGACTTGGAAAGCTATGATTCAGAAAGATATGAGTCTGAAAGATACTGATTCCAGTAGAGAAATACGAACTGGAAAGGTGTGATTCCAGAAAAGCCGAGGTGTGGAAAGATGTGACCCAGAAAGATGTGATCCAGATGAAAACTATCATACCGAAATATGAGAGCTGGAAAGATCATAACTAAGAAACGTGATACAAAAAGGCATGACCTGGAAAGATATATGGTTTGCAAAGCTATGATCCAGAAAGATGTGATTCTGGAAAAGACCTGATTCCAGAAGAGAACTGTGAACCGGAAAGGTGTGATTCCAGAACGCTGTGGTGTGAGAAGATGTGATCTGTAAAGCTGTGATTTGCAAAGCTATGATCCAGAAAGATGTGATTCCAGAAAGCTGCGATGTGGAAAGATGCTATACGTAAAGCTGTGATTCAGAAAGGTGTGCTTCCAGAAGAAAACTGGGATCTGGAAAAGCTGGGATCTGGAAAGATGCGACCTAAAAAGAAAACTCTGCAGAGAGGAAAACAGTGATCTAGAAAACGGGAAAACTGGGATCTGGAAAAATGTCGTCTGAAAGCGTGCCACCCTGGAGATTCCAGGGACCATTTTGTAGATCCCTGTCGTTTAGGAAGCGCGATTGCAGAAGGAGCAGCGCGCCGGAGAGCAGCATGTGCACTGACATGTCTGTGCTGACTGAGCGAACTGAGGAGTTAATCCATCACTAATGCACATCTGCAGCGCTGCAGCTTCCCCTCCCGCTGCAGTGCCACGGCCGACGCGGGGTTAGCAGAGCTGAGTGAACAAGCTCGAGGAGGAGAGGAGGAAGTTTGCAGAGGAAATGATAGACGTGGAGCTGTGAATTATGTTTGTGTGCCCGCCGTCTGCCAGGTGAGCTCCTTGTTTGCTGCCTTTCTGGCAGATTGGTCTGTACGCTGCAGGAGTGGAGTGTATCATCGGTTGCCTAGGAAACACATACTGTACTCGGAAGGTGTGAAGCAGACAGAGACAGAGAGAGAGAGGGAGAGAGAAAGAGAGAGAGAGAGAGAGGGGTTGGTGAATTCGAGGCTGCTGGGGAGAGGTGACGGAAGGCTGGGGGGGGAGGGGCCTTGCAGGGGACGGTGAAAAAAAAGAAATAGAAAAAAAAACTGCAAGCAGACTGGCTGGTGAAAGGGGGCTGGGCTTTCTTCTCTCAGCATTTCTCTCTCTCTCTCTCTCTCACTCACTCTCTCTCTCTTTTTTTTTGCTTTCTCTTTCCAAGCCGTTCCCTTCCTTTCTTTGTCTGTCTCCTTGGAGGGTAAAAGCGAACAGGAGTGCGAAAGAGGGGGAGAGAGGGAAGGAGGGAAAGAGAGAGCGAGAGAGAGAGAGAGAGAGAGCGGAGGGGGGGAGAGATAGAGAGTGAAAGGGGAAAGAGAAGCGAGAAAGGAGGACAAAAAAAGGAAAGAATGGACCGGCCGCGCTCGTCTCCGTGACAATACAGGCGCACCTATCTGTCAGAGCCGTCTCTGAGTAAGACCACCTCTCTATCTGTGTTGTGTGCGTGTGGGTGGGCTGTGAGGGGGGCTGTTTAAAGGGACACTGGGGTTTAAAGGGACACTAGGCAGTTTAAAGGGATAGTAGGCAGTTTAAAGGGACACTAGGCTGCTGATAGGCATGTGTTTGTGTATATACGCGGAAGCTCAGAGACTCTCCCCCCTGAAAGGTAAGAGCCGCTCACGCTCACAACAAATGAAGCGCATTGTTTTGACATTTTTGAACATTTTGCTCTACTTTTAACACAGTCGGCGTGTTATTGTCTCGGAGTAGCTCGAGCAAACATGTCAGCGGAAGCTAATCTCCACTCATTAGCATGACTATTTGCATATTGCTAATTGGTGCTTTTAATTAATCTTTCGCAGCATCAGCTTTTTGGGCTTTTTCTTTAAAAGCTGGCTTTTTGTCTGCTTCATTTCTGCATAACTGTTGTGAACAAAGTCATTCAGAGTGGTTTCGTGCGAAATTGTGTGAAACATACTAATTTAGGTGTCTTTACAGTGGTGGTGATAGGAACCCGACGTCTATGACATAAACATAGGCATTTAATTTACTATTCAAAACCATTGTGTGTCGAGCTTTTGTTTGTAGTGTTCATGATGGTAAAGTAGTGTTTAAAATAAGTTTTCTTTGGGGACTATTTTGCCTCACAGCGCCCTGCGTGTATCCCTCCACTATGAAGAGGTCTAAAAATGCATACATTACATAATGCATAATGCATTTTAGGCCAGAAGCTTGTAAAACTTTCATAAAACAATGTCATCAGGCGGCGTATTTCATGTGAGGGGAGCTTTTAGAGGTGGACGTTTGGTTCCTGTCACCACCACAGTGAAAAATTCTGACTTAACTGTTTAATTGTGCCAAAATTCTGAAAAATTGGTGCACTTGCCCTTTAAAACTGTATGCTTAAAGGGACATGTATACCCATATATGGGCATATAGATTGCTCGTGCTGCAGGGGCAGCTTTTTAGCACAAAGGCATGTTCTGATTGGTCAGTTTGTCTCATATGCTTTCTATAGTGTACAGTACTACTGTAGTTTATTGCTGCAGTGCATATATTTCCCCATAGTAAACTATAGCAATTGTCCCAGTTGTCCTATAGGAATCCCTGTAGCATTAACTATATAATACTACAGAATGCACTACAATATAATGTAGTGATGACACAAAGAGTGTGTTGTCAACAGACAACCTTTTTAAGGCCACACTGCTGGTCAGACTCCCTTTGTGCTCTGCAGCAGACCGGCATGTGACTACCTTCTTCCCTCTGTCTCTCTTTCTCTCTCTCTTCTCGCTCTGTTTTCCTCTCTCAGTGTTTTTCCTCCTCTCTTGCACTCGTCTTTGTGCGGTACAGTCAGACTGTGTCGGTGTAGCACGTACAGCAGTATGGAAATGTAAAGAAAGCTGCAAACGAGCGCTGCTGCACTCAGAGCTGTGTGTGTGTGTGTGTGTGTGTGTTAGTAATATGATAGCAGTGTTGTAGTGAATGCTCTCGGGCAGGAAGTGGGCTTATTATGGCTGTGTATCATGATCTCACAACAGCGCTGTGGAGGCCGTCAAATAAAGCATATGCTGTGCAGCAGTGTGTGATGCAGTACAAATTATAACAGATGTGATTAGGGCTGCAAAAAAAAAGAGAATATTTTGATATCTGATTATTCATCTGAGTTAATCGACTAATAATAATCGATCATTCGACTTAAATGTGAAATGTGCAGAGCTGTAATTATGACATGAGGCTAAATTAGAGGTGAACAATATGGCAAAGATATAATATTTTAAAACTTGTGATACTTAGAAATTCTCACGATACTCGATACGTACACAATATTTATTTTTTAGCCAACTGATCAGCTGGAACAGAGAAAAAAGAGCCAGCAGTGCTACATTTTAAAAAAATACTATCACAAAACTGTGAACACAGTGATTTTAATTCAGTATTTGGCACTAAATCCAGTTAAATGAGACTAATTTTGCTCTCTTCATAATAAAACATGCATATCACTGTTGTCGGAAGAAAACCTTGTATCTTCAAAATGGTAACTTTGCAGGAGAAGGAAAAAACCTACTCCACTTTTAATGTAAGTCAATGGAACCAGACTTTTTTCCATGTCATTTTGGGCCGTACACACAATGTAAAGGGCAACAGGTATTTTGAAATTATCTGCAAGAACTGAAAAATGACAAAAATGGAGATACGAAGTTTTCTTCCGACAGCAGTGACATGCACAATATGTTCAGAAAAGCATATTGTATTGTATAGTGACATAGTTTATCATGATAATGATATATAATGTTATATTGCCCAGCCCTATGTTAAATTAACAAAACGTGTGGCGCTTTGTTTAAGGCTGCTCATAATTTGGAGCTACAGTGAATAATAGCCAATAATTATGAAACATTATGATAATAAATGTGTAGAATAGCTTTGTAGCTCTTTGGGCTGCAGGTTTAACATTTTACCGAGCTGGTTCACTAGACGAGCTCTGTCTGAACATGTTTTCAAAACTACGTTAAACTAGGTTGACAAAATGAGTTGAGTATTTTAAGTGAATTAAGCAGTTGTGTGTAGTTAGCTAGTTAACATACATAGCTAGCTGCTAGCATCTGGCCGCTAATGTAACGCTGTGATAGTACGAGCTGCCAAATGTTCAGTAGTTTTTTAAAGTAGCTGCTAAACACTTCTAATTAACAGAAACTGATATGTGATATTCCAGCGACTGACATTAGTAACGTAACGTAATGTGCTTTTGTGATGTTTGATAAACCAGGTTTTCCCAAAATACCTCCATTTAAAGTGTTATTAATTTTAAATTAGGTTTAGTCTGCAGTTGTTAACTGTGGCTGTTATAGCTAGGCCTTCATTTTGGGCCATAAAACTGGAAAAAATGAAACGATAAAAAATTCGCACCTTTGTGATTATGCTAAATTCCACTACTCTAATAGTATGTTAGCACTAAGCAAACGGTGGTGCACATTAACATTTTTCCTCTTCTAAATTAAACGAAGCTTAATAGTAAAAGACATTCTATATGTTTTATTTGAAACTTGTAAAAGACATTACCATATATTTGTGTCCTAGCGTATAGCTGTGCTGCTGTTTTCCATTCCTAACAACTAACTGGAACCAGTTTAAACTGCGTTTACCGTCGGTGAACTTCCAGAAGACCTAAAGTGATGTTTTTCATTGTTTCTCTAAGGGTTATTTTGTACACACACACACGTGTTTAAGGTCACACTCTTAGCCTAGATCGGGTTATCGAGCTAGTGTGTGTGGAGCCTATTTAGGTCACTTTGACCACTGGGTTGCCATTTAGGCTGTCTGCCTTCCACCCAGGTGCCCCACTTTGGTGCCCAGTTCATTATCCAGTTTAACTTCATGCCGTTTATAACTGAATATTACATTGAACATTATTGTTTTGGGATTTTTTCTTATGATGTATTTGCATCACGCTAATACATCTGTACTTTAAGTGTATGTTAAGGCGTCCATTCATTTTGGCTGCTTTCAGTACTGCTAGTATACAGGCCTATGACATCACTTCCTGCCACTGTATGGCCTGAGTTTCCTCTCACAAGGGTGTTTGGCCAATGAAGACTGTAACGATCAAAGTAAACCAGTAACCATCTGCCAGTTTGAGACCCTAAAGGCCATTGCTCACGCAATTCTGCTGTAGATCGCCGACAAGCAGAGCCCAAAAACGCCAGGTTCAAGTTCGTTTTAAATTCTACTGATGTAATTTGAATGAAATAAAGTGTTCAGCATTACTTATCATGCTTGGTATCTGTTTAGTACCTCTTCACAGGCTGTTTTTGAGCTATATGAGCTGAAAAGGGCTAGGCTAGCAACATTAGCTGAGGTACCATTAGCATCTGTCTGCTTATCTAAAAGACTGGCTGCCTTCCACTGTGTACAATTGAAGCCACATGTGATCTGCTGTGGCTTTCTGTGGTCTCAATATGGCTTTCATTTAATGTAGTAATGGCAAAATGTACCGTTAAGTGCTAAACAATAGAACAGCGCTCAGAGTCATGTAAGCTTCGGTGCTCGCCGATGTGCTGTGTCGATGACAGTGTGCGTACTACCATTAAAAACAATAGTTTAGAGTTTTTGGACGCCGCGTCCTCTAATTTATATAGTTTCCACTTACACCAGTAGTAGTTGATCAGCCAAGACATTCGGTGTCTAAATTTTGCTTCTGTAGTGTAATGCATGAGGCTAATGTAGCGAACAAACACTTAATTTCAATAGTCACCCAAATCTTCTCTATAACTACATCCCCAAAACGTCTCTCTACCCACTCAAACTGCATTGAGGTCTTCATTAAGGTGGTGCAGACTTGTTGATCTGGTTTAGGACTAGGACTGCAACAAACGACTAATTTGATAGTCGAATAATCTGTCAAATATTGAAATGAATAGGCGATTATTCGGTTTATGAATCGCTAAATTACCGAATAACTCTTACGTAGCTTTCAGCTTTTGAATTTAGCCTGGGGTTGTTTTATGCCTTCGCTAACAATGAAGGACAATAAAGATGAATGGATGAATAACTTATTCAGAAGTTCACTGTTTTAATGAACTTTCATGCAAATACAAAATATACAAAAGATAGAACTCCAATCATTTTTTCCTGTCGAAATTTAAAACCAAGGATGTGCAAAGTAACAGCAATAAAATGTAATAAATTTCCAGTATGCAGTAACGTCAGAACATTCCTAATTAGCACAAGAAATGCGTGATGACATCACCAACTAATCGACTATTAAATTAGTTGCCAAATAATTTGGTATCGTCGATTTTAGTTGACTAAGTCAAATAATTGTCGCACCCGTATTTAGGACACACTTTGACTTGCTGTAAGCTATAAAAATGACCAGCTGTAATGTAGCTGAACAAAGCGAGCTGCTACTTTAGATAACAGATGTGCCAAATTCCGACTTCCCAGCAGAACCTGACTTCCATCACACAGCGTATGGACGCTAGATTATATTTGCAATTTCTGTTGTTTTTGTTTTATATATTTTTATAGCTCACAGTAGGTCATACTGTGTCCGACACTCTTAAAAAGAGTCGGGTGACTACTGACCTCTAGTGTTTGTTGGCAAAGTTAGCCTTGTAGCTCCAGCGCTAAACTAAAGACGCAAAATTTGGACACCAAACTTGA